CCGATGCGGGACTCGATCCCGGGACTCCAGGATCATGACCTGAGCCGAAGGCAGTCGCTTAACCAACTGAGCCACCCAGGCGCCCCTCTTATACCTTTGAAATAACACACACATATGTGTGCACGTTTGACATACATATACCTAGATAAACACCGATGGATCCATATAGTTAGGTCCGTATAGCATGGATCTACAAATCTGCATTTATATTTCTCTATATATATTTAGATAAAGAGAGAGAGACTAAGGCTTTTTCTGAGAGCATACATATAAGTATAAGCACACACATATATAGCTTAAGAAAAAGGTATTATAATCAGGAGGGGGAATGGTCATTAACAGAGAATATCTAAAGGAAACCAAAGTGGCCCGATCTAACCCATTCCACAAATAACACAGCAGATAACAAGATCACAGTGGGAAACACCAAGGGTGTGGGGCTGGAAGACCTGAGTTTGGGGCCAACCTCTGCCTCCTACAGACTGCGTGCGAGATGGTGGACACATTATTGTCCCGTTCCAAGTCTCAAATGTCACACCGGATAAATGATGAGAGGAGTACCATGTTCACCTCACTTTACTGTAGTGAGAAATACATTAGACTAGGTGTGTAAAAGGCCCATTAGACAGACATTACACGTGTGAGAAAAAAAGTTAATATTGAAAGCGACATCCCTTCCCATTCTGAACAAAATTAACCTATACATTAAAATTACACCTGTCTGTGTATTTGTGCATACATATGAAAGCTTGAAAAACTACAAGGATACTATTCTTCCTTGAAATGTCAGAGTTCTGTTGGGATTGATTTTGTTCCCAGTGTTTTGCCATCAAAACCAAGTTGGAACCGTATAGAAATCCCTTCTCAGAAGGCCTCGATGGGCCAGTACCTCTGAAGATACTGGCCCAAACCTTCTCAGAAGGACTCAGTGTACCCCGAGCCCAGATCCTCCACTCCAGAACCCCTGCACAGAGCAGCCTCCGCTGCTCTCCACGGGTCTCTGCCCGACCTCCCTCCCGCCCTCTGCCAGGCGTCCAGGGCAGGTCTGGGAAGAGAAGGAAGCACTCACTCTGTCCTCTGCACCACAGGGAAGGATCCCATCCGGACATAGGAGCTCTGCATCCCGTTCTCTCTCCTCCCCAGGATCTCCTTCACACTGAACAGATCCATCAGGTCAAAACCTGTCAAAGAGAAGAGCTGGGGTGAGTGGCGGGAGCTGCCCCAGTGTTCCGGAAACCCCCACGGGAACACTTGGCTTGCTCTGCAGGCAGAGCGGTCATTGAGGGCTTGCCCTCCTGTGGCCACAGTCCTGAAATTCACGTGAATTTTGCTTGGATTATAGGCTGGCAGCTTTTAAGTTTCACGCTTTTAAAGAGGGAAAGGTCAGAGAGAAAAAACCTGAATGATATTGCATTCATTGGCAGGTCCTTGGTTCTGGTTTGTTTTGGCTCTAAGAGAGGACCTCGTGTGCACTGGCAACGTCTGTGATGGGAAAGTCATGACCTTTGTGCTCGGGGTGCTGGTGGGGCGAGGGGGTGATCGGCTCAAGCACATGCACGTGTGGCGCTGGGCCAGCTACATAACCTGTGGGATCCTTGGCACTGACCATTTGATCGTAAGGGGAGGGCGGTGATCCAGCCGGTTGGTTATCACTCCTGCTCTACCAAGCCCACCAGCACATCCCGATCCACATCCCTACAAAACGGTCTGGACTTGAGTCCCACAGGCCGGGACACCCAGTTCTCAGGGGAACCCAAGCACAGCACTCAACCCGAGGCTGGCAGTGTGGCGTACTGGCCCAAACCGTGTCCCCCGGGCAATGAGAAAGCTCAGGCAGGTTCGAGGGAAACCACCAGAGGGCAAGCATGGGGGCTCACTCGTTTCTGCATCCCCAGGGCTGACACGACTCTTGGCCCTGGCGACGCCTAACCCATGAGACTTTGGGAAGATTCTTGGGATCTCTAACTTTCTAAGGCACTGTCATGCAAGTAAGAGTTGAGCTGGCAGGGCTCAGGTTATGATGATGAAGACATCCCACTAAACTTTGCTTTAAAAGATCATTTATTCATTCAACACATTCTTGAGAGCCTCTCTGCTACTCCAAGCCCCATGTAAGAAATAACAGGGATAGAAAAGGTTAGCACTGACTGAGAGTTTGGGTGGTAGAATGGACACGTCTAGGCTGTGCTCCTGACCACAAGGTCCTTGCAGTGTGGCCTTACGCAGGTTACCTAACATCTCTGAGCGCCAGTCTCTTCATCTGTAAAAAGGGGGTTGTTTCAGTATATACCTCATAGGATTGTGGTAAAGCTTGAATGATAGGATACAAAGCTCTTCATATAGCGTGTAACATACAGGAACCCACCGAATAGTTTTCATATTGATTATTTTCCCATTATAATGATTACAGCCTCTTCTACCACTAAGTTCTGCCCACAGATGCCCTTTATTCATTTGATGCATGTTTTTGAGAGCCTGCTCCGAGCCAAGAATGTGTGAGCACAGCACTTAAAGCAGGAGGAGAGATGAAATCCCGGTTCTGGGGAACTGGTGCCCTTGTGGGGGACCAGAAATAAGCAAACATACAGCAGGAAGATAAGGGGCAATTGCAGGCAGAGGCAGAGCGAAGCAGGCCTGGGACTGCACACGAACAGAGGATGCGCCTGGCCCAGAACAGAGCCTGCCACGGTCCAGGAGGGTTGCATGCACTGTGAGGCTCTGCCAGGCTGGAGCTCTGAGTGACTTTTTGGAGTTCCCAGCCCCTCACCATGCTGGGCTCATTTCATTCTGGAAAATGACTAAGAGTTGCCATTATGTCATTTTAAATAGCATTTCACACTCTGGCTAATTAATGAAATCCATGATATAATGTTCAATGATATTTAGTCCTTAAGATAGAAAACATGAATCCAGAAGCTTCCTCATGGGTGAAAAACGTACACTTCAAGCTTTTCACGTGCCCTAGGGCGAATGATCCAGCCCCTCCAGAGATGGGGGTTTCCTCCAAGGGGCGGGCGCTCCACATCCCCCCCGACATCAACCATGTTATATGGGCCATGGAGGGTTCAGCAGGCCTGAGCAGGGCACAGGCTGAGCAAGGCCACGTCCCTTGGCTTACATGCTCAGGACGCTGAGTGCGCCACCCCATTCCTTGTCCACAGACCCAGGCCTGGCCCATTGCACAAACTCATGCAACTATTCTTCCAGCCAACTTCAGGCTGGCACGTGCCCTTTACCGTAAAAAGACTGTGTAAAAGAGAGAGCACCAAATACTCATAGGTCAAGTCCCACTTAGGTCATGAGGGTAGGGCCCTTATGGATGGTATCACTGCTCTTATAAAAGAGACCCCAAGACCTCCCTTCCCCTTCCACCATCTGAGGACAATAAGAAGAAGGACATCGACAACCCAGAAAGCAGGCCCTCACCAGACACGAAATCTGCAGGTGCCTTGGTCTTGGACTTCCCAGCCCCCAGACCGTAAGAGATAAATTCCTGTTGCTTATAAGCCACTCAGTCCATGAAATTTCTGTTATACTGGCCAAAGGACAAAGACACTGAATGACTTTGAAGAAGTTGTCTGATTTCTTGAGTCTGTTCCCTTTACTGGGAAGGTGGAGGGAATAATCCCTCGCGAGGCTGTCGGGACAGTACAGTGGAAGACGGCCCCGGGCAGCTGCTCCATCCCTACCACCAGCCCTTGCTGGGGACCACGAAGGGACCTCCTTGACCCACATCCTCTGTGAAATCCCATCACGGGAGGCTCATACCCTGGCCATAGCTCCGCCACTCCCCACAGAGCCCCACCGCTATCACTTGGTAACAGAGGACCGGGCATGTGGCAAGAAGCAGCCACCTCCTCACTCAAGGAGGGGTCCCGGGGAGCCCCTCCCCCCAGGTAGCAGGTCGGGGGCACAAGATATGGGGAGACACCTGCTATAGAACAAGGAGAGAAGCGCTCTCCTTTCAGCTTCCCCTCGGCACTTCTGTTGGCCCAGCCACAGCCCCCTTGAGCAGGGACTGGGCCCTGTGGTTTGAGCATCACCTGGGGACAGAAAGCATCAGGTGTCCCTGCAGCTCTGTCTCAACACCTCAGAGAGCCCAGCGGGCCCAGCTAGGGGCAGCTGGTAGAACTGGCCCCACGAGAGACCTTCTGAAGATCCACAGGGCTGCCATATGTGCTGGGGCCCTGTCCCTGGACATGGCCTGGCAGTGCCGGGAAGTTCCCAGCACTGGGGGGTGGGGGCTGGGAATGGGGAGACTGGCCGAGAAGGCTCTGGAGGTTCCATGGAATGGACACCAAGTGGTAAAGTGTGTAGAGCCTGTTTGGGCTCAGATTCTGTTCCAGGCAGAGTAGGTTTTGGAGACAGTCTGTCCTGGGTCCGAAAGCTGGCCCAGCACTGGCCACGCACACGGGTGGTACCCTTGTGCATCCTCTGCCGAGGAGGCGGGGATAATGGCCCAACTCGCAGGCTGCCACCTTGAGGACTGGGCACACTCTTGCAGGCAGGGCTGCACTTACCATGTGCTTGTACCTGGCATCTCCTGCGGGTGGGCGCTGGTGGGCGCCTATGGGCTCTCCCATTTGTGACACTCTCTGACTCTCCTGCCTGCCTCCTGTAGGGGAGGGGGTGAGGTTGGAGGGGTGCAGGTTGTTGCTCAAGAGAAGCTGCCCCAGGTAAGTTAAGGGAGAGAAGAGCATCTCAGTCAGCACCCCGGGCCCCATCCCTGTCCTTAGCCTGCAGCTCCACAGTGCAAGCGCAACTACCACGGTCCCCACAGCTCCCTTCTCCTCCGTACAGAGGGTAGGGTGGCCACCGTGGGCAGGTCTGTCCGAGGCCTCGCATGGACATCAGCCCTGGAGGCTCTCGTGGAGCGGCGGCTCTTACTCAGAAAGCGAGCTCACGATCCAGTGGACACGTGCCCGATGCCTTCCCCTTGACAAGTGAGCAGTGAGAACAGCAAAGGGGGCCTGCTCCTCTACTTCTCAGCTCTGTCCACTGTCACTAGACACTGCCACCTCGAGCTCGGTTTCCCTCACGCAGTTATACGTGGGAGAAGTCCTTCTTTAAGTTTTAAAAAAGCAAACATATGCCCTGCTTTCTGGTTCCACTTTTATTGCTTTCAATGAATAGAAACAGTGACTACAAACAAAGACTTAAACACGACAAAACTTTGAACAACAAGCAATTAACAAGGGAGCAACAAAGGGCACGGAGAGAAAAGATGAATTGCTTGCAGGAAATAAAAGGCTTGGAAGGAAGATGAAAAATGCTCCCGAGGCAAATGGGCTCTGATGCAAGGCACCCTGAAATAAGGAAGCAATTGTTTAGTGCAGGAATTGCGAGGATTACCTCCCCAAAACCACGGAGTCAGCTGAAACAGGTGGCATCAGGGACACCGTCAGCCATGGCCCTGAGTCCGCTGGCTGCACCTGTTCCACGCCAGCGCCCACTGGGCGCTCTCCCCCATGGTCTCCCCGGGACAGAGCTTTGCTGGGCTCTCCAGGCACGATGCTTCTCCCAGGTCTTTAGTGGGTCTGGCGAAGGCTAAGTCCCTTATCTAGGGACTGCTTCCCAATCGCATGGTGAGCGATTTGATCTCATTCATGTTTCCAGCCCTGAAGAAGCCAGGAACCTTGGTTGTTTGCAGCACAGTTTGTAGAAAGAGGGAAGGAGAGAAGGTAGGATGCCTGTTGGTGGCTTGGATCCCAATAACGAACAGACAAAATCCCAGCCCCGCAGAAGTTTAGTGTCTAGGGAGAAGCAGACACATACGCAGTGTTAGCATTGTGGCTGAATGATTAGGAGGGGGGATGACAGGGCTTGTATAGGAGCACAGGGAATATCTCCCTCGACCAGCTGAGGAGCAATCAGGGAGGCCTCCCGGAGGAGGCAAGGCCTGGCCCAGAGTTGAAGAACAAATAAAAGGTGGGCAAACAGAGGAGGAAGAAAGGGCATCCAACGTAGTTGGATGTGCACAGGTCACTGGGCTCGGGTCAGCTAGGTTCCTTCTGAGAATCTTGGCTATTCTGGGATGTCAAGAGCCACGGTCAGGGGAACACTGGCTGGGACTGGGGTGGGTGGGGGCAGATCTGGCTGGGTTCTGTCGGCCACACAGCAAAGTCTGAGTGTCCTTCTGCAGGCAATGGGGAACCATGGAAGGGCTTCAGAGCAAGAAAGAAATACAGTCCTGTTTCTATTCTGAAGGTCAGTGTGGCAGCAGGGAGGCAGGACAGGGAGACTAGGGAGGCTGGACTTGCTAAGGCAGGATGGGACGGGGAGAGAGCAGAGGAGGCCTCGGGCCAGAGTCCACTTGACAGGTGCAAGGGGCGTGCCTCAGCGAGTATCTGGACGCAGGAGCCCAGGTAGGAGGAGAGAGAAAAATCCAGAATGTCTGTGGCCATGTTTCAGAGCTGCTCGGAGCCTAGCATGTTGCCCAGCGCCAAACCGCTAACCTCCCAGAAAGTTGTGTAACACCTGCAGTCACTAAAACTCCAGGACACTCGGTCATGAGCACGGAGAGGGATCCTCAGAAACAGGACGTGGCACGCACAGTTATGCAGGCAGCGAACCTGAACCTCGGAGGTGTTATGAGGCTGGGAGCAGTACCAGGCTAAGACGTATGCCTCCAAATCACCTGCTCTCTTCCCTTGCTGGCTGTTCTGGCCTGGGAAGCCCTAAAAACTCCCGAAGTCATTGGAGGGAATGCCTGGAAATGAGGCTTTTGGCAACCCCCTTTTTCCCAGAGAATAAAAGCCATTCCAATTACCCAATTGCATTTAAATTGGCAAGTCTGAGACTCTATCTCTCCATAACCCCCCCCTCCAGCTTCCACACAGCTGGGGCTTTTTTTCCGGGCTGGTGATAATTAAAGGAGAGGACAGATCCCGCAGGTTCTCCGTGAGCTCGACGCCGCACAAACAGGGCATCTGTGCCACGTGATGGATGCCTGCCTGGCCCTGTGATTATTTCCTGGGAGCCTCAGAGCCCACAGCGGGGAGGAGAGATTTCAGGGCGCCACAGGGTGCAGACAGACACACCGGATTCCTAACAGAGGAATCCGATCCCCTCCATCCATCACCAGACAGCCTGTCAGCAGGACCCTTCTCATGGAGCAGAGACGAAAGAATTCATTCACAGCTCTGCAACTTGCCAGAAACTCAGGCAAGTTACCGCATGTGCCCATGCCTCAGTTTCCCCAACTATAAAATACAGACTTGTGCCTCTCATACCTCATCCGGGTTGAATGAGAGCACGTGGGCACAATGTAGGTGCTCAGTGTCGATTCTTACCATTTTGGGTATGAATGTCACTCTTGTCACCTCTGTTGCCTTCTGTGGACACACACACCACCAGATAATGAGACGCTGCTCTGAGGGATTTGCTGCTCACAGAGTCAAATATGGACCATGTAGCAAGCAGGAATTTGTTTTGAAGAGCGACTTCAGTGGAAGCTGTGCTTAGCTGGGGACTGCCAAAGCAGAGAGTGGGAGCAATGACGTCACACTGCCCAGAAGCTTCACCCCACCCTGGGCAGAGCTACTCAGCTATAAAGATATCCCCTGAAAGGTAAGTGCGTTAAGGAAGGGAAGAGGATGAGGGTCACCTTTATCTCCCGGGTTGACAGAGAGCCCCTGGGAGTGAGAGGTCCTCACGGAGAACCAACCACACAAACCAGGTGCTCCACCGGGAGAAAAGAGGCGACTAACTCCACCTTCTTTTGGGTCCCTCCAGAACTGCTGACCTGGGAGGGGCTTGATGGGGGACTGAGCGTTGGGGACAGGCAGGAAAAGCAGTTACAAAGCGTGTGGCACTCAGCCAGCCGCCCCAGCAGGTGACTGCAGCTGGATCCCACTGGGAAACGCCAGGGAAGGGGTCAAACGTGGACCTCGGAATAATCCCCCTCAAAAGGGCAGTAAAACCAGGGTTGTTTCTTCACCCAAGAAACTGCCTGAGGGCTGAGTCCATCCTGAGGACACATTTCATCTGCTGTGTGAGCAGGCAGGGCAGCCTTCTACCATTCTAGAAATATCCCTCAAGCACAAACATGCAGATGCAGGCATCTTCTTGTGGGCCGGGGCACCCTGACATGGCAGTGGACCAGGATGGCATCCCCCAGACAGCGCCTGCAAAGCATCTGCTCCTGACACCCCCTGGCTCCATGCTGAGGATGCAGACCCCCCTCCGGCGCTACAGATGGAGGGGCCCCGGCCCCTCAGGCAGTGGGCAGGAGCAGGGCTGGTGTCCTGGAGGTGGAAGAAACTCCCCTGAGATTTGCAGGGGCAGGAGGTAGGCCACGGGGAGGAGCAAACCCTACTCCCACACTCATGGCTCTCAGGAGGGTGGGAAGCCTCCTCAGCCACTGCCAACTACCTGTCTACCCCATCATGCGGGGACAGGCTGGGAAGGGGCTCTGTGGGGTTTATTTCTACTGCAGGGTCTGCAGCCAAGTGTCTCTGCTCTCTCTCTCTCTCTCCCATCATTTCGTCCTGTATTTATAGCTCTGATTCACGCTCTCACCCCGAATGCATCGATTTCTCCACTCATTTGCTCACTCCACCGATCATTCGCTTACTCATCCCCCAACTCATTTGTTCTGATGTGTTATTTAGAGACTCCCATAGGGTCACTGCCAACTCCCAGATGGAAATGCTACTGCTGTTCATGGTTCGGCAGCTCGTGGATGGGGGCTACCGCCCTCACAGCTCCAGCCGTTCCATTAGACGTCGGTGAACAGATCAGGGAGGCCAGCCCTGCGTCAGGGAGGGCTGCGCTCAGACCCAGCAAACAGCGCAGCAGAGCTAGCCGGCAGCTGCCCTCTCTCTCTCACCTGTGATTTCCTTGGTTTCACCGTTGGTGTGCTTAAAGCGGTCTCCTTCCACTCGGACGCTGGGGCACAGCACGTCTGAGGAAGGCAAGAGAAAACAGAGAGATGGATGAGCAAATATGACCCACGATCCCTCTGTGGACTATGACAGCACCCAGCGCCCCCAGCTCCCCGCACGCAGCACCCAGCACCCCCAGCTCCCCGCACGCAGCACCCAGCGCCCCCAGCTCCCCGCACGCAGCACCCAGCGCCCCCAGCTCCC